CTGCCCCACCCCTTTCCTCCCCCCTCCCCTTCCAACTTAGCAGCTGGAGGCAGTTCTTCATGCTGCAGACAGGTCTGCGCTGTGGCTGCGCACAGCGTGGGCATTTATCGGGTGACTTATCTGATGCGGCAATTTTTTCTTTATCAGTACTGATCTGATATTGGACCAATGTATCTGTGCACCTCTAGTGGTGAGCAGTTGTCATATGGACTAGCACATATAGATTCCTGCACTCTCTGAAACTACTGAGCATCCTCAGGGAAGAGGTTGAACTGTATAGCAATTGCAGTGTTTTTTCATTCTGATTTGAAAGTGTCAGTACTTCTGTATATTAGACTTATGGCACGCTAACCAGCTTAACATCTGACTCCCAGGTAAACCCTCCACTGTTTACCAGCTATTCTCATCCTCCCCCTCCCCTTAGCTACTGACCACTTCAATTTACCTCCTAACTGACTGGCTTTCTTGCATACTTACTGACCTCAGGCTGCTTTACTACTCTATCCAGGAAAAGCACAGACAATCTGCAGGTGCTTCCTCAGCCTGACCAAAGGGTGTTTGTGCCTGAAAGCTTGCCAAGAAGAATTTTTCTAACTATTTGAGTTGGTCTAATAAAAGATTTACCCAAAGAGCCTTGTCAGTACTTCTGTATAGATGCTTTCAAAATGAACTTATAAACCCAACAATGTTCTTTGAGGCTTGCAGCTGTTTTAAATTAGTTAACTTTTAATTGCCTAAGAATAAGAGTAAATTAACTGTGGTGCCCATGGCTTTCTCTAATGAAACCCTGGATTGGTGGATTTCTTTAGACAGAATTCCCTTTTGGTTCTGTCCCTTTACTGTTTCATTGGTTAATTCATGGGACCAAAACATTGTGCAGGCTCTTCCATCACTTACCTTGTTCTGGCCTTCCTTTGGTGGTTCATTCATATTATGAATCTTTCTGGGAGATCAGAAGCAGTAAAAATGTTCCATGGCGGGAGGGGAGGAAGGGTGGGGAACCAGCTCCTGATGAGCTGTATTGTCCTTTTTCTGTTTAGTTTCAGAAAGTGTGTTGCCCTTGTACGAAGTGGTAACACTTTCTTAACATCTGTTGGCTCCTAGAGACATCTGCTGCTTGTTTTATAACTCTTGGATTTTTATACATTTCATGTTCATAAAAACAACTCTGATTTAACTCTCCATTAGTGGTGCACCAATTAAAGATTTTCTTGGCTGATACAGATAGCTGATGATTAACCAACCATGTCGGCCAATGCTGATCCAATAACTGATGTTTAGTAATTACTCAAGGCATTTTAAACTACTAACACAAATGAACCTTTTTTTGTTCATTTGTTACACACCCTGTCTGCCCAGCCTGCTCCGGCCCTTGATGAGGAAGGCAGTGACTGCCTTATTCCCATGCAGGTCGCTCCCTCACCCACAGCTCCTACCCACAGCCCATGCTGCTATACTGGGTGGGTGGGTGGGCCCTTGTGTGGACAGTGGCGCTGGGCATCTTTGGAGCCCCAGATGTGCTGCTGCCTCAGTGCTAGCAAGCCCTGCACAACTGAGCTCCTGCAGCTGCCAGGGAGAAGCCACTTCTGCAAAGGTGCCCAGCAGAGTGAAATGTTCCTTGCGTGGTGCTTTACCCTGCCTGCGCACTGCCCAATGTCTCTGCAGCAGCCCCAGTGCTCAGGCCCCTGCTCTGTGTGTGTGTGTGTGTGTGTGTGTGGTGTTATGACAGCAAGAGCTGGTAATGGTCCTTTTTCTGAGCACTGCACCCTGTGACTGCTCCTTACCACCCCTTCCCTGCTGCTGCTCACCAAGATTTGTCTGCTGCAGGCTTGGGCTGGCAGCGGGGCATAGGGACTGGACTATGCTTGCCAGGATGCTTCAAGCACATGGCCATAATTATCACCTACAACAACCAAAAAAAGATGATAGCTGATCATGTCACTTCTTATTGGTGCCAATTTTGATAGCCAACTGACTTCTATCAGTGTACCCCTACTCTCCATGTAGTTCCTGTACCAAAGGAGCCAGTGAAAGTGCTTATGCTCATCTCTGTACAGCTAGTTCCATTCTAGCAGCAAGAACCAAAAAAAGCTTTGGGGGAACCTACTGCCTTTTCTAAAAGTATTTATATCAGAATAAACTCTGAAGCTGACCCACTGGCCAGTAGTAATCTAATAAAATTGTTCCACAGTGCAGGAATCCTGTTCAAACTACTAGTGCCACCCTTGATGGAGCTCCAGTTGGGAAAAACACTGTTGTGCTCTGTAATAAGCAGATGTTAATGACCAGATAGATTTCTAGAACTTGGACCAAAGCCTGCAGGTAACTCCTAACCATCCAGAAAATAAAATTTTCTTTTGGCAAAATTGATTAAGAAAAACTACAGTGGCTGCCAAATTGCAGTGGTGCTGCTGCAAACATTTGTCACCTAATTAAATGCAGAATAGTTGTTGCAGTCCATGTTATTTGAAAACATTATCCTTCTGGCGAAAGTAGGATATGGTTTTGTATCCATTTTTTCTCACTTATTCCTTTCCATGCAAAACCAGAACATTTTAATTGTTGAAATATACTCTATTGTATAAAAGTTTAGAAAATGTCACTGTCTAAACTATTAAAGGCTGTTAGATTCAAATAGAGCAAGTTCCTGAAATAAATGGTCATTTACAGAACAGTTTTGGGGGGCAAGTGAGTATCATTTCTTCAACACTTGCATAACTTTCATTTAGAAAAAAGCTATCTTCATTGGGCTGCCTTTGACTAATGCTTTGTCTCTAAATGACCATGTCACTTTTTGCATAAGTTGCTGGACCTCAATTTAAATAAAATCTAAGCTTTGTCTCGATAGAAAGCAGAAGCTAGTGGTTTTTGTTTTTTTTTGCAGTGCTGTTTTTGGAGCAGGATGGAATGTGCAGTACATAGTTTTTCTTGAAAATCTGCTTTAATTCTTGGCTTTGCTATTTTTCTTTCATGCTTTCACTTATTTCTTCCTTTTCTTCTGGTAAGTAAACTGTTACTCTTTATTACTGTTTACTGGCAGCATTTAGCTGATTTGCCACACTTAGAATTTTATTTTACACGTTTACATTCTATTTATCATTACTTTTGCAAGTACTTTGGAAGTGAATGTAGCTACTTACTGTTTTTTGTAGCAAACTTGTCAGTCCTAAAGTACATCCACACCACAATCAGGATGGGGGAAAATAACCTAGAGAACACTGCTAATATCTCTTATTTACAGTACTGTAAACATTACAGGAATAAGACAGATCCCTGAGACTAACATAATTTTGTAGTGACTATAACATTGCAGAATAGTGGAGGTATTGTCCTTTTATAGAGCCAAGAAAATTGTAAAAGCAGAATCCTAAACCTAACATCAATAGGAATGCTCCCCTGAATTTTTAGTAATGGCCATAAAAATATTTTATGATCTACCCCTTGCCATATCTGCTTCGTATATGGTACACTGTTGTGGTAGCAAACAAAACATAACTGCTTTTCAGCAGAAGCAAAGCTAATGCTGTCTCTGCTGTCTAAAAATGTTAGTGAGATGCACCTTTGTCTCTGCTAGAAAAAAAGTTAACCTTAACTTACACTAATGTAACTAAACATGATGGAAAAAAGCATCCTGTTCAAGTTTAATTTTCTCTAGCTATTGCAGTAAAAACAATAGCACATCACAGTTAGCATCCTGCAATGAGATGAAACCTTAATATTTTAATAAAACACTCCTTTATTTTTATCGTTAAAATATTCACTATTTTAAAGTGAAAGTTTAATTTTTTGAAACATTTCATCTAGGTTTGGAAATAATAGAGAAATTGGCTAATTCAATTACTTCTAAAAACATGGGCTCTCACTCGATTCATTTTCTTCGTAGAAAAGAGATAAAAGGATCACGGGAAGCAAAGATACAGAGAAGAAGTGTCTTTTGACAGGATTTTAAGAGTTAATAGAGAAAAGCCTTTCTTGGTTTTGCTTACTCCATGAAAAGGCCATGTTTCTTAAAGTCACAGAACTGCTTTACCAACACTCCCTATCTAAGTAAATATATTCATGGAGACACTAGTAGCTTTTGAAATGTCCTCCACGATGCACATAACATGGGCAAGTAGGGTCTATTTCTTTTTTATTAATAAACTTTGGATTATGAATGAATAAAACAATGCTTCCAACATAGATCCCTATCTCCAGTGGATTACAAGAATTTTTGAACTACTAAATTCTGTCTAGCTCTTCAATCTCTCTTTTTTTTTTTTTTTTTTTTCTTTCTAATTTAAGTACCCTCCAACTTGTATCTCACCTTTTAAAGAAACATGAATGCATCGTATCCAGTGTCTTATGTAGTAAAATTGTTTTGTCTGGAATCATGGGTCAACTTTTCTTGTTAAATTGGATACCATTACATTTTTAGAGAAGCTTTATTTCATTACACACAAGAAACGAATTGGAGTAGAAATGAGTAGAGGCTGTTAAATTGCAGCTTTTTCAAGAATGTAAAGATTACAGTAAGATGCTTTATTCACTTCCTGAGGAACATGCATCTTGTTTCTTGCTGTGCCTGGGCTTACCTGATATCAATAAGCTACTTGTTTAGATGAATTGGTTACAAATTCTAATGCAGGCAAGTGGCCACCAGGATTTTTCTGGAATTGCCAGCAATGAGGCAGAACACTTTGTCTAGAATTTAAATGTGGTACTTTTCACATGTTAAGCCAGTTGGGTTTTTCTTGGGTTTTTTTTTTTCCTTTCAGCTGCTTCTCTTCTCTTCCCCATCTTCTTTTTATTTCAACTCCTGGTCTTTCCCCATTTCTAGCATGGTTTTATTGACAGTTTTTTAGAATGCTGCTTATGGTTGGTTCAGCATGCCGCCTCTAACAGCTGAGAGCCATGCCTGTGGCAGTTTTAGTTTAAAAAAATTTTTTTTTCCTGGCACAGTTTAAAATTTATATGACTGTTGGGAAGATTCTGTCCTGGACTGCAAGTTCTATTTTTCTTGTTGTTGTGTTTTTTGTTTTTGTTTTTTGTTAGAAGTGGTACACCATCTCCAAAAAGGACATCTGTAACAAGGTCGCCATTGATAAGGGGAAGCAGAGATCGCTTTACTGGTGAATCATATACAGTGTTGGGTAAGGTGAACTTTTCATGTTCACTTGTACAGATAATGGTATAGAAGGGCAGAAAAATTTTAAGTTTTTGTGAGCATGTGTATTTTGTAGCTTATAAGCCAAATGCTTATTTCCCTCAGTGATTCCCCAGTTGCAGCTTATGGGATTTGTACTCTGAATCCTCCTGGTTTTGATCTCTGCAAAGGTCCATAAGCCCATTCAGAGACTCTCTTTTTCCTTCTGAGGAAATGTTTTAGTTTTTGATGTAGTTTTCTATTATAAGACTCTAAGTAATAGTGACAGGAATTACTACTTAGTCTTCTAATGTGAAAGCTTTTAACATCTAGGAATACTAGTAATATTAAATACTGTATTCTGTTAAGTTACTTGCCTTCAGTGGACAGCAGGGAAAGATTCCCACCCTACTTCTACTTAACTGAAGATGCGTGTATTCTAATACTTAAATTTTTAGTCTTTTTCCACTGGACTTGTAGATCACAGAAGTAGTCTCCCATCTAGGAGTGATCTCTGGGCAGCAACAGAAAAGCCTTTTTGAAGAAAACACATGCTGTACTACACAGTCTCTCAGTAAAAGCTACATCACTGGTCTGTTGCAGGAGACACTACTATCGAAAGTGGACAGCACTATTGGGAGGTGCGAGCCCAAAAGGACTGCAAATCCTATAGCATGGGAGTTGCATATAAAAATATGGGAAAATTTGATCAGCTGGGAAAGACTAACACAAGCTGGTGCATCCATGTCAACAACTGGCTACAAACCACTTTTTCAGCCAAGCACAATAATAAAGCTAAAGCCCTTGATATGCCTGTTCCAGACCGAATAGGAGTGTACTGTGACTTTGATGGAGGTAATTTTTTTTTTCTATATTATATTATGGACTTTACTGAAACAAACAATTTAATGGGTTGGATCCACCATGTCAAGTTGCATTTCCACTACATTTACATCCTTCTATTCTAGCATTGTTGCTTCTATGTTGATTCCTAATCTTTACTTATGAACAACAAAGACCCACTGAGAAGGATTCCCAAAAGTTTTTATAACTGTTGAATTTCCTAGTTTCATTCAAAAGTCTGCATTGAATGCATGACAAACTCTTACTTAAAATGGTGCAAACTTTCGTCAAGTACAACCTAGGCAAAAGACAACTCGGACAGTATACCTGATACAGAATTAGTAGAGGGAGACTGTTGGAGAAATTATTTGTAAACCACTGTTCAGTCTGTCGGATACTTCAGTTGGATTCGGATTAATTAAAAGATTATCTCTTTCCGGAAATGGTATTAATCTAATTTTCATCCAAACAAAAAAACACTCGTGATTTAAGTAGTTGCTTCCCAACCCAATTCTGGAAGGTGACCGAGATGATTTTTCTTTCCACCTTTACTTTTACAGTTCTGACACTAACGTATTATTAGACGGCTGCTTATCTTAGTCCGTTTTAGGCCACTGGCAGTAAGTAGTGGTCCTCTAGATGCATGTAGGCTGGCCTAGGATGCTCTTTAAAAGAAAGGTGTACATTTACCAAAATGATAGAACATAGAGGGCTGAAAGGACCTTAGGAGGTCAAGGAGGCATAAACCTAGCCTAAACCAGTAGTTGGCAAACTTCTTAATTGCAGGGCAGAATGATGCAGAAGCAGGCAAACATTAGAAGTTGAATTCTATTTGCAGAACTTAGAGTTCTGAAATTTGGGACATTTAATAAAGCAAGTGACAAACTTCCTTGTCAGTACTTATAGGCTATCTGCATACTCTGTTAATATGCAACTTTTTTTCTGGGATTCCAGACCTTCTTTGTTCAAAGCAGTATTGTAATTGTGACATGGTATGAGACCTTAGAAAGGTGACAATTTGTCTAAATGTGTGTGAATTTCTAAAACCTGTCTTTTTTTTTTTTTTTCTTTTCAGGTCAGCTGACATTTTACAATGCTAGCTCAAAGCAGTTGTTGTATACCTTTAAAACAAAGTTTACTCAACCACTATTACCAGGTTTTATGGTCAGTTTAAAAATAACTTTTTAAAACAATGTTAAGAACAGAATAAATATAGCTATGTTTGGACTTAATTATGGGGGGAATGGGGGACCTCTTAGACAGCCAAATGAGGAGTTTGTTATTTGGCATTAAATGGGATTCTTGCGACCCACTTTCTTGTTTTTAAGCTAGAAGCAGCCTTCTGTTCAAGAGAAGGAATTCTCCACATAGAAGTGTCTTTTCCTTGTCCCTTGAAACTTCCTTCAAACTTTTTTGAGAGAAACTTAAAGGAAATTGCTTTTTCTCCTTTTTGGCTTAAGGAGCCTGCCAAAATAACCAAATACAAGGGGCTTTGGCTTCTGCAGCAGCATGTGTTCTGCTAGGAGCTGCCAGAGTAGGTGAAGTGAAGTAGGCCAAGCTGGGTGCACTTTTCTGGGTCCCCTGTCTACCAAAAACCACCACAAAGTTACCCAACTTTCAAAGCATTAATGGAAAGAGAACCTTGGCTGGCTTTCCCCAGCCAACAATCCTAGGGTCCAGCAGCTGGATTCAGCAGCTTGTAGTCTCCCCCTGGCCCCCACATCCCTCCTTGTCCTTGAAGCTTAAGGGACAGCAACCTGTGCTGCAATATGAAAGGTGTAAACCCTACTGAAATGCAGGCAGGAAGACTATTTTTGTGTATATTTACTCTTTTCTGTTGCTGTCCTAGTTGTTTGTGTTAGAACCTGAATTGTGTTAGTGTACTAACAACTATTTGTCTGTGACTCGCATTAACATGAAGGGCTAGTATCAGTACTTTTTAATGGTGTAAAAAAAAATTAAGAATAGCAGTTGCAGGAGTATGGCTTTCAAAATTTTGACTCATGGTAGTTTTTGTAATGGTTTTCTTCTAGGTCTGGTGTGGTGGCCTTACAGTGAGCACTGGACTGCAGGTACCAAGCGCTGTGAAAACCCTCCAGAAAAGTGAAAATGGACTGAGTGGTTCATCCAGCAGTCTAACCAACATTACCCAATAATGCATCTGTTTAGATACTTTACTCCTGTTGCTGAGTGGATTTTTCTGTGTAGCTGCTACTCACAGGAGCTTGTGGGCAATGGATTAAACTGGGTTTGCTACCCACTGCTGCTTTAAGGCCTGGGCACTGATAGCACAAAGGTTCTGGGCTGAAGCATTAGCAGGAATCTACTGTGAAATCCATAGACTAGGTTGACTTTTTTCAAAAAATAGATGGGGAGATCATGAGCTGTAGCTATGCGCCTTTGTTAGACTGAACTTGATTATTTTATGGATACTTGATTTGATCACTTTTGGTATAACTGCACATAGCAGACCCAAAGGCAGTCATGATCTTAATTTCAAAATTACTTTCCCTCCTCTTCACTCTCCACTGTAAGTGAAGGCAACTTTTGAAATTCTGAACAGACGAAACCCTGCCCTTTGTTTCTCATAGTTGACTTCCTGATGCAAGCTAGAGACCTGACAGGAGACTAGAGTTGGTATAGGTTTGACACAGACTGGCTATCATCTGCTATTAGACAAATAACTTGTGCATAATTTTTGTTGGCTGCCTCTGGTTGTTTAAATGGATACAGTACTAGGAATTCTCTTATGTAGGCTATTTATAGTTGAAACCATAAGAGTTCAATATTATATCCGTTTAGTGAAAATGTTGTAAGAGTAACAAAGTTGTCAGTGTTAATCAGAGCACCTCTGATTTCTACAATAGGAGCCCTCTAATGAGACAAGGTGTATAATATAGCATTGTTCCCAATGTTATCCTTGATAAGCTTGCGGCCATATCTGATTGATTGTTTTAGTAACCAGTTTGGAGCATTGATGCATTTCCCACACTTTGTCCTTCAGTCCTGTTTTTAAATGCAGGTTAGATGTCTAAAGACATCTTTATGCCCAGTTCCAACCAGATTTGCATTGATTGATTGAACTTTCCAGTGAGTTTAAAAATGCTGAATAAATGGTACAAAAGGAGGAGGCTTTTAAGAGCTCAAGTGTAGCTAAACTGAAGTTTTAGAGTAAAAGGCCCAACATTTTTTTTTTGTACTTTTTTTAATTAAAGCTAATATGTAAGCATGTACTAGTGATTCTGATAAACTAAACTACATCTTGATCTAGCATATTGGATGCGCCAGATTAATTTCAAGTTAATTGGAGCATATAATATACTCTTGTTGCTTTTTAAAAATGAAGGATATGAAAGTCAAGTTATAGTGCAGAGCATGGTATACTGCTCTTATCACTTACGACCAAAGTAAGCTGTGAATATTATGCAAGTGGCTCATTACCAAAACAGAAGTCTAAATAGAATAAGGCGACAAAACTGGAAGGCCCTGAGAAGCATAAAATAGGAGACCATAACTTGTACTCCCATTATACAGAGAGCAGTCCATTCTGTATCTTTGAAGGCTCTGGACTTTTTAAAGGTACAGAACTTTTTCAAGCTCTTAACTTGTTTTAAATGTATCCTCATGTCCAAGGCTCCCATTTGTGGTAACTCCCATTCTTCCCAGCAGAGGAGGGATCAGTGTGATTCTGCAACTAAAGGACCATCTAAAGTCAGCACAAACAGTCACTGGAAGCTTGAGGTTCTCTTTCTCCCCCTTTCATGAGATTGAAAGCTCACTTCCAGCCCTACTAATCCTGGAGTACATGTTTTACTTTGAGACCTTGGCCCCTTTTTTCCCTGAAAAAGGGTAGAGCATTGAGTCACTAATAGTTCACTGGCCCAGGCCTCCTCCTTTCACAATTTTTGCCATCAGCATCATTTTGTACCCTGTATGAAAAGACTTCTATCCTTGAGGGCTTTTTATAAAATCTATATTGCAGTTCTTTAGTTTGGGGGGATAAATGTGCTACACTTAGTTTTAAAAATAGACTGCAGAAGAATGATCCTAGAAGGATTTTGATTTTTAGATAGAAGTCCTACCCACCTTCTTATATAGCTGTTCACACATTTTCTCTTTTTAGGGAAAACTAATTTAACTGGAGATCTTAAAAGGAACATGTTTTGATCTTAGCCCTAGACAGCAAACCTAATTGTAATATGAATTACTTTATGAGATTATTCTGTTAGTGGAGATGCCCAAGATAATGCTTCTTAAAGAGAAACCTCTTGAACAAAACTTTGTTCTAGTGTTGCATCTATTTTAGTTGGTTTCAGATTAGTACTCCCCTCCACTCTAATCACGGCAAGAGTCCCATGAGGTAACTTCTGGTGACTAACAACTTTGTCCTGGTTGGTTTGTTTCTTAATTATACAATTTTAAAATTGGAAATTTATTCACAATATCAGCTTAAGATTTATATATGTAGGATGCTGATCGCCATGGCAAAAAGCCTTCTTCCTGTGAGTTGAACTGCTTTTGCACTCTAGACCTTCAATTTATAGATGCCTCATTTGAAATTGATTTTTATTAACTGCTTCAGGTTCTCAAGTGTGTCCTTCAAGACTAAGAGACTTCATGCAACAGTTTTGGCGATTGCTGGCAAAGACTAATGTGTGTTTTTTGGGTTTGTTTTGTTTTGGTTGGTTTGTTTGTTTGTTTTAAACAACAACAAAAAAGTTTTAATTTGGCCCTCAGTCTACAAGGTGCTAGAGGGCTTGTTTCACTTTAAACTTGAGGGGGAAGAGTCCTTCCTAATATTCATTCTTGTATACAACTATCATTTTGTAGAAATGGGTCACAGCTTTTGTTAATTTTAAAAAAATATACATCTTTTTCCAGGTAGAAGAAGCGGATTATTACTAGTGTTCTTATTTACCACACTTTACTAAGCCAGTAATATCTGTAAAGATGCTGCCCAGTGACTTTGTATTTAGTAAGTTCAATAATGCACAGCATCTGAATGTGCTTGTTATAACACTCTCATGGTGGTCCATATGATCTTACTGAAGCAATTTATAAGGTTACTTAACTACCCTTTTTGTTAATGGCACTAAGGACCTGATTCTAAAAATGAAGTGCCCATGAGTCTCAATGAACTCACTGTGAAGTGAGGTAATTCAGTAGCTTGCAGAATTAGGTAGAATTATGTTATTAGAAGGGATGAGTAAGTATTGTTTCTTTTGACACTTGGTGTATCCAGTTGTAATAACGTAGTCTATCCAAGTGTGACTTTTTTTTTTAACACTACATCTCTGCCAGGTCACCCTGTCTGATCTGGTCCTTACTTCATTTCCTTAACTTTTTTGTAAATTAAATGAGTGTATGCTACAAATGAACATGCATATTGAAGAACAGATGACCATTGAGTAAACCCCCTCAAACTCCATGCAGATACTCACTCATTTCTTGAACCTATTTTAGTAAATTGTAATTGTCTAAGGTGTACTTGATTATGCACAAATGGAAAGTTGAATTTTTCTTAAATGCTATTATGTTAGCTTAGTCTGAAACAAGTTTGAAATAATAGTACTGTAATTTGTGCTTCATAAAATATATTTTGACTTATGTCCCAGATATAACTGTTATGAGGAATGCTTTGCGTTTATTTTTACCCCTAAAGGTTGAAGTTACTGTACAGTAGTTAATGCGCAGGTGTTGGAATTTTGCTGCTAACAGGGTAGTCATGTTTTAGTAAAAGGAGATAAAGATGGAAAATTGCCTTAAGCACTTTAGATTTTTTTTTTTTATTGAATTACATGAACTACCATCTTGCATATCTGTTTCAACTATGAGGCACGTACAGGCATATTCATGATATTGTGTAAGCAGCTGGTGCACTGTTTTTGTGTACATTTGTAAGCAAAATGTAGACTACCTTTTAAGCTTCAGTAAAAGCTCTGTACATAGGAGGAATGTACAAATCCACTGAGGCTATATTACTTGAAGGTGGGTTTTATTGGAGACTTACTATACCACTTCTCTTTGGACAAACTGACAACATTCTTGAATAGTGTGTGGGGCACTGCTCCTGTTCAAGCTGTGCTAGATACTTGATACCTAACCTAAGTGTAGTGTATCCAAGAATGTAAATAAGTTACAACAGAAAAAGCCAATAGAGTCAATGAAAATGCTTTTTGTAGCCAATCAGGAATTTTTTAGCATGTTAACCAAAAATACAACTTTATACCATTTCATTAAGTAGTGGTTGTTTTAGTTTTACAAAAATTACTTAAGATGGGGCAAAATCTGCATATCTTTTTGAGCCTAGAATGAAATAATATATATTGGTTTCACTTTTTTTTTTTTTTTTTTTTTAAATGCAAACATATATGCACCTAGCAAAGTTAAGGGGCACTAATTTTGAAAACTAAGTTGAAAACATTCAGGCCACAGGTTTGTTGTCAGATATTAGGCCATAAAAGGCAGATACTGACAACTTTTCAACTTGCAAGCTTTATTCCATGGTCCCTCCAAAAAGCTTGTAAGTAGGAAAAACAGTGCCTGTCCAGAACATCAAGGTAGCAGAAACATGTTCATGACTGTCCAATCCTTCCTAAATTGCTCCCTTACACCTTGCAGAGAGGGGAAACTGACTGGCTGCTTTAGGAAAAATACCTAACCTTTTCATCCTGAGTAAAGAAGGTTATGAACTCAATTTTCTAGCACAAAAGTTCACCAAGTGTGAATGTTCATCTATCTCCTAACCTCTCATATATAACTCCAAATGGCTTTTTTATTGACTGAAAAGAAAACACGTATTTCATTTCCCAAGCATTGTAAAGTGGGCTTCATGCATATCTATGACAAGGTAAAACTTAAGTTTTTCCTGCATTATTTAACACCTCTATAGCTGCATGTGCCTTTGATAAATGGAGCCGTGCTCACCTGCTGTAGCTTCTAGTGATCTTGTGTTGTCACACTGGATTCTATTTTATTTTCTGAACACAAGCTTCATACTGGCTTCCAGGTATGTCACTTCAACAGTACCTCAGGTTTTCTGTAATCAGTGCTTTATTCCTCTTCCTTTTGTAATGTATCCCAAGATCAGACTTGTCATTAACAACACAGAACTACAGGGGTGCCTTAGAGGCCACAGAGTGTTTTATTCAAGGTCTTTAACTCAATACATGTATGTCATACAAACTTTTTGTATTAATAAATTAAAATTTTGAAACCTTAGCTGCATCTTACTCTTGTCAGTTTTCTCATTTGAGCCTAGCATTTATTAACTGTGTCTGAACTAGACTTTCTGTGAAAGCTGACTTCTTCCTTCTGAGCACTGCCAGTCTTTGGAGGGTTGCATGCTCAGTGCAAGTATAATGTCAGATGAAAACCAAACCATTTGTTAATAAATGCTAGGTCTAACGAAGAGGACGGGTGTCTGTCCCATCCTGACTCCTTCCTCTTTCCATTCTCTCTTCGTCGCCTGTTCGAGGCTGCTCTAACACGGTTATGCAATGCAGCAGTGTTTTCCTCTGGTGGATTCGCCTGCTCTACAACCCTCAGTTCCCAAAAGCTGCATACATGCAACTTTTTTGGAAGGACCTGCTTCATCTTGAAAGGGTGGGTGGGTCAGGGGCACCAGAACAACAACGCCACACCGGCCCCCCATGCCGCGGCCGTGCTCCTTTTGCCGCGCATGCGCCGCCACTGCGCCCACGAGTCGCACTTTGCGCATGCGCCACCCCCGCCCCGGAGTGCGCCCTGCTTTACGGCCACTGCAAACGTCTCCGCGTAGGTCCCGCAGCCCAGGTAACGGGGAAGCGCGGCGCGAGCCCGGACCCGCCCACTGTCCCAGCGGGGAGGAGAACCCCCATTCCTTTTCCAGCGCCGCGTCGGCCGGCCGGGCTGGGGGGCGGCGCAATGGTACAGCCCTCCCTGCTGCCTCCCGGGGCTGCCGGGCTGCGGCCGCGGAGAATGAGTGGCTGGGGTTGGGGGTAGGGAGGGGGTCATTTGCTTTAGGGAATTAAAGGCTTTAATTAGGGTAAACTTTAATAATTGTGTGCGTGTATATATATCATAAGCACACTATTTTTATTATAAACAAAATAAAGCAGGCTCGGAGAGCAGCCCGCCTTTTGGCAGCCTGGTGTCGCCCCTGCTCCTCCTCAGGCCACTCCAGACTGAACCCCCATCCTGGCCCTGGTGCCCAGCTGCCCAGTCCAAAGCTCGAGGGCCTCAGTAGGGTGGTGGCAGCTCCCCGCAGCCCCTTGTGCTGGCGCCCGCTTCCCACGGGATCGTGTTGCGCTCCAGTTCTCTGGAAGCCGTGGTGCTCACGGCCCCGTGCTTTGCTCCGGTCTGCGTGCTTGTCTCGGGAGCACCTAGGTGTTAAAGCTTGACGGTTGTGCACGTATTTGCTGCAATGCAAGTGCTTCCTTCCCTCTGTTTCTCGGCAGGAAGGCAGAGCCTGCTGAGGGCGTCAGAGAAGATGAGAGCGCCTGAGCAGCGCTCCAGCTGTCACCGCGTGAGCCCCGAAGACTAATGCAGAGAATCAACAAGAACGTGGTTTTGGCGCTTCTCACTTTGACCAGCTCGGTGTTTCTTCTGTTCCAGCTGTATTACTATAAGTACTACTTGTCTCCAAAGGTAAAACAAAACCTCAGGCTGCAGCTCTCAGTTCAGCAAAAAAGCATTTGGAAAAAGTAGTACTTGGTCCTTCAGTGCTGTCTACTAATGCAGTTAGCCCCTGACAAATAGTCCGTCGAAATGGATAATTGTTACCATAAACCTGAGATGTGCAGAGGCTGAATAACTTGTCCTAGAGGACACAAGGACTATCATGGCCCTCTTTTCAAACTGTTCTGCCCACCAGAGGCAGAGCAATTGGGTATTATATTGAGTTGGCTGGAATCCAGGCTTTTTTCCACATATTTAAGCTCAGGCTGCTCCCTCAAAGCTTTTCAGGCTCCACATGCATGCCCATGAGGTGGTTCTGAATGTGGAAACTAGGGTCAGACTGGGCACATCTACACTTCCTTAATGTACCATAATTACAGAGCATTAAGTTTAGTACCACAAGTACTAAAAGCGCTACTGTGTATTAGTTCAGATAAACGCTTTTAAAGTAACGGTTAATGCCCATTGGACTAACATGCGCATTAGTACAGTTTTTGCCAGCCGTGCTAATGCGCAGTGGAATTAGTCCAATGGGTGTTAAGTATCTTCTGTAGATGTGCCCACTGAGAGAGTTTTTTGTTTTGTTTTGTTTTTTTTTGTTTTGTTTTGTTTTTTGTTTTGTTTTTTATAAGGCTGTTCAGGAAAGCAATAAAGTAACCACTATGTTTGTAGCCAGCTCTGTTTTTGCAGAAGCACTGTCTTTATTCCCTAGTGTTCAGTTATGAAATTTTTGAGATATTAAAGGTAAATGTCTGCTTTCTGCATTCTTACTGCGAGCCAAACAGCATATGAGACCACGAAGACAGTCTTAATGTAAATAGAAGTGAGATCTTGTCATTCATAAGAATCTAAAAGTATAATATAAGAGTTCCTGCTTTCATCTGACTTCCTGCCTTTTTTTTTTTTCTCCATGGGAACAGTTTTATTCTGAGAGACTAGGTTCTTTGGCTAAATCCAATATCTTTTATTAGACCAACTCAAATAATTGAATTATTCAGTGTGAAGCATTCTTAACACTTTTTTATGGTACAACTGTGTGGCTTCCTCCTACACTACAGCTTTGTATTGAACAAATATACATTAGGAATCATTGTCCATTAGATAGCCAGAAGTTTGTAGTATGAGCTGTATTTGCACCGAGTCCATGACATGAACATTTTCTCTCTCCGATTTTAAGTATTTTAAACCATTGCCTTGATAAGATGTAACATTCATAGGGCACATCCCCATGAGCA